ACTGTGTTTTGATCTGTTTAGGAAATGTTTTCTGCAATTTTAAGGCTATTGTTCCCGCGTTTGAATGTGATGAAGAAACAAGTTTCTTCCTTTCCACGCGCGCGTTGATTGCCACAGTGCATGTTAGTGGCATATGGCTCATGCGCTTTGGGCCTATGCTACAACAAATGCCTTTTTTGAAAACAAGAGTTCTTAGGCTGCAAGCGCTATTGGGTTTAAAAATGTTTCTCTTTTAACTGAATCGGGCCTAGGTCTGCTAACTTTAAAAAAAGATAATAATAAATAAATAAAAAAAGCTTTTAACAAAAAATAAATAAATAAATAGTTTTTCTCTAAAAAAACGAAATGGGTCAGGTGCTCAGTTTACTGGGCTTATTAAAAATAGAACAAACATTTGACAAATCAGTAATGATAATAAAAAAAGTTTTTTTTCTCAAAAATCGGCCTGATGTTTGGGCTTGTTACAAAACAATGAGATTTTTTTTTAAAAAAAGCTTACAATAAAACCTTTTATGGGTCGTGCTGTTTTTTGATTCATTGGGCCTCAACAAAAACAGAGTCATTTTATACATCAGAAAAAAGAGAATGAATTTTAAAATGGGCTTCAAAAGATATGGGCCTTTGATTAATCGCTACATCCCTCAAGCAAGAAGCAAACCTCCCTCTATATCTAAAGTGGGTTAAAAAGTAAATGGGCCTTAACCAAAATAAATAGATTGTTCTTTTTTTCTTTATCAAAAATCTAAATGGACTTAATTTAAAAGAGCTTGTTCACACCTTTTTAAAAAGAAAAACACTTCTCTCTCATTAGAAATGGGCTCTTATTAGAGCTTAATGGGCCATCAAATGTTGATGGTCCATTTTGGATTGTTACACCCCGCCCTGGTTTTAAATACCCCTTTAAAAGTAAAAAACTAAATGATACATTTTAGTTAAAGGAAACCTAAGCATAAATAAGGGTAGGGCAAATTTGGGGTATGACAGACCATCATTGTTAGTAACGAATTTACAATAACACTCTACACAGTAACGCGTGGTCTCACATTATTATATCATTTCCAACCGTTACTAAAGGTCTTATCTATAGTAGTGATCAATTCCTATTTAGGTTGAAGCTTAGATTTTGTGATAATCTTACTTTAGTTCTTGGTTAGCCGATAAAACCAAGATTGGTTGAAGATTTTGAAGATTAGCCGATATTAAAAATCTTTCTAGGTTTGATATTAGCCCGGTTAAAATCTCATAGGCTATTTAGTTATCTTGTTAAACCAAAAGTGAGCTCAGATATTGTGGAAAGGATACTAACCACTTCAATCCGAAGTTGGGAAGGGATAATGGCAACTTCACTCTCAACAATTTATTGGAGAAAAGACGCAAATGCTCATATCCACCATCTTGTAATATTTGGTTGAAGGTCAACCACTATTTCCTTGTATAAGGGGGTTAGTGAGTCTTTCCTACTAAAAACTCTCAAGTATTATTGGAAACTATCAATACCAAGTCTTGAGGAGATGAGTAGGTCTTTTAGTTTTGACTGAACCTCTATAATTCTTTGCGTCCTTCTTTTTCCCTTAACTTTTACTTTCTGCTATTAATTTTCCGTTGCTTTTTATTTAAAAATGATTTTAAACTCTGATTTAATTTGCCAAAAGTTTTCAAAACCAAGTTTTTCCAAACTATACAATTCACCCTCCCCCCTCTTGTGTGTGAAGTATCAAGTCCAACGGGTAGTACCAATTAATCCTTATAAACCTTCCTTCAACCATGCAGCCTCATACCTGCACAACATCAGGATCTCTCTCATTCTCATATGAATTCGAAGACCACTCCTCCACCCTCTTCGACCTCAGATGTTACATCCATTTCTGCCCTATTCGACCTCGGGTATTACACTCGATATGAAAGGTACATTGAAGAAGATGTGAATGAAATAGGAGAAGATAAGCTCCAACTTAGTCTAGAAAGTGAAGAAGAAGAGTAATTACACAACTTGGACGTGTTCTACGAGACTGAAGACCCTATCACATATGATAATGAAGGTAAGCATGAAACATGGATAAAGACAATGGATCAAGATATTCATTAATTTCAGAAGAATCACATATAGGAACAAATTCATGGGCCACCAGAAGCCAAAGGAATAGGTATGAAATGGATATATAAGACCAAGTGCAATGAGTATTGAGAAGTAGAAGTCCATACATGTGGCTAAAGGCTACTCACACCAGTGTGGTATAGACTACAATAAAGTATTTTTACATGTTGCAAGATTAGATACTCTAAGGTATATCCTATCATTAGCCACACGCAAAGAAAGCTAGCAAGTATACTACCTTGACGTGAAGAGTTTCTTCCTACATGGTGAATTAGTTAAAAATGTTTATATTGATAAGCTATTAAGTTATTATAAATGAGGAAAAGACAGAGTCTACAAACTGAAAATTCCCTTTATGGGCTTAGACAAACACCAATGACTTGGTATAACAAGATCGATTCTTGCTTTTGTCAAGAAATGTTTGAAAAGTTCCCTCACGAGCATACCTCATTTGTGAAGCACAATGTTGATAAGAATTTGATTGTAAGTATGTATGTTGATAATCTAATCTACATTAGAAATGATGAGCAAGTGTTTGAAAGCTTTAAAGACTCAATGGAGAGGAGTTTTCAATGACATACTTGGGAAATGAGATATTTTCTAGGAGTTAAGGTGAAGCAATGTGAAGCTATAACTTTTATACATCATTAGAAATATGCAAAGAGATTTTGGCAAGGTTTGACATGGATCAGTGTAATAAAATCTATAACCCAATTCTTGCAGGTTGTGGGCTAATAAAGGATGAGAATCGAAAAGATTTAGATGACATTAACTACAAGTAAATGGTAGGAGGCTTCATGTACCTAATTTCCACTAAACCTGACTTGGAAAATAATGTATGCTTAATAGTCAGATACATGGAGAAGTGAACATAGATTCATTTGACTTCAGCAAGAAGATTTCTCAGATATCTCAAAGGGACATTAAGCTTTGGTATTTTGTAAAAAAAGGGAGTGATACAAGACCTTCATGGATGGTCATACTAGGATTATGTAGGTGACATTTATGAAAGGAAAAACACATAAAGGTATGTGTTCATGTTTGGCTCGGGAACAATCTCAGTGTCATCTAAGAAGCAACCTATTGTTATGTTGTTTACCAATGAAGTAGAGTTTGTAGCAACAACATCTTGTGCATGTTAGGGAATTTGGATCAGGAAAATTCTATCATTTGGACAAACAAAAGAATTGTATAATGATATTGTGTGAAAATAGCTCAACCATAAATCTCTCGAAGAATCATATTATGCATGGAAGATATAAGGATATTGGTGTCATATTTTACTTTCTAAGGTATCTCACAAGGGATAGAGTGATGAAATTGTTCCACTGCAACTCTAAAGAACAACTTGCTGATGTGATAACCAAGCCTTTTGAGTTGCACTCATTTCACTGATTGTGATCAAGGCTTGGAGTGTGTGACCTACCTGAAATCGAATAGTTTATGTTTACTATTTTTTATTGTTGTTTGTATGATTAATCTAAACCCTTACTAGTAGTTGCAAATTAGGGCAGAGTACAGGCTTAATTGGTGTAGTGGGGTTAAGTTTAGTTGCTTGCATTGCAAGTAAAAAATTTACTTGTATAATAAACATATATAAAAGTATTGTGATGTCAACGATAACTAAAAGGACATTCATTATATTCTTACAATATCATCTACTATTTATTACTCTCTTATTTTATTTTTTTTAATTTTGTTTTCATATAATCAATAATGATAGGCAATTTTATAAAATTATATATAATTTCTCTTTCTCATACAAAATTAATTAACTTTTTAAATAGTGTGAAATGACCCAGACGTAATACAATCTAGGGGTGGAAAACGGGTTTGACTCGTTGGTCGTGTCTGTTTTACCTGTACTTTTTTTTACAGAGCGGCTTGATTTTTTAGGTTGTGCCCTCTAATATGTTTGCCTGTTTGTTTGTACGCTTTTGCATGCGCGAGAATTAACATATATTTTTGAAATTTTTAGGATTTAAATTTGAAGGGCTAGCAGACATGTTCCATTTTAGATTTACACCCACAACTATGCTTGTTCCGCCCTTTTATTTTGTGTGGGCGAATCAATGTTTTAACCTCACATCTTCAACAATATCAACATTGTTCTGTTTTTTTAGGCATAAATAGAGACGAACATGCCTATTTACTACCCTTAATATAATAATCTGACTCACTTTGTTTTCTTAAGCATGTTTAAAATTGGAGAAATAAGTATTCTTTCTGTCTCATAATAAATGTCTCATTTGCACTTTTTTTATGTCTCAAAATAAATGTCCTTTTAGAATACCAATACAACATTTATTATTTTTTTTTCACTACTATACCCCTATTTATTAACTTTCATGTTTTTAAACTACTTTACTAACTATAATAAATAAGAGTGTTTTAATAAATGATACTAACTTTATCATTAAAATCAACACATCTAATCATGTTTTTAAGAATCCTGTAAAATTCAAATAAAACGTTTATTATGATACAGATAGAATAATACTTATGCATTGTTATTTCCATATTTTAATGAAAGTAACCAATTTTGTTTTTATTACTACATTATTCAAATAAGGTGTACATTAGTTACATCACCTTTTGTTGAATTCTAAAATTTTAATTAATTCAACACGGAACATGTACATACATTATTTCCTAACTAGAATCCAACCAACTCGCGTGATAATTTGTAATACTCTTAATGCAACCCGGTCTTGAAACTCATAAGACACGGATCTCACAGCTCTTTAACACCCACATGTGTCATTTACCGTCAATTATAAACTTCCTTTTCTCTTTCCATTTTTTATGCCTTTAACAACCTTCCCAATTCTTTATATATATATATCCAACTCACATATACTCTGATCTCTCACAAAGTCAGTTACAACAATATTTGGCGATCGGCATGGCCACCGGCGCCGCAGATGGATTTCTCCGGCCAATTTACGAAGGTAGTATTTCCGGATACGACCACAGCGTGGAGCGTCGTCCTTACCATCGCAAATGCGGCTGTACGCTTCATAGCAAATCTAAGAAAAAATCATGCGTAAATAAATCTCCAATTTGTAGCAGCAAAATAGCATATCCTTTAAGAAGAGCGTGGAGTGAAGGCAATTTGGCTTTATCTGCTTCAACTTATTCTTCTCCATCTCCTTCTGCTTCTCCTCTTGGTGGTGTCAAATCTCGACGAAGTTACGTCGATCTTCAAACCCAATTCGATGATTCTCTTCTCGGTGGTGTCAAATCTCGACGAAGTTACGTCGATCTTCAAACCCAATTCGATGATAAAATTTGTGGTTTGTTTGAGGTTAATCAATCTTTTTAATTTGTTTGATTTTATTTTTTTGGTTACAGTTTTGAATTTTACTAATAATTCCAGTTTTCATTTTTAGGTTATTCATTTAATTTGTTAGGTTGTCATATGGTTTGTATTGATTTATACCACTTGATTACATGATCAAGTTTTATTTGCCTTGTAATTGATTTGGTATATTTTTGGATTGTAACAATGATAGTTTAACTTATGATTCTTTAGTATATATATGTTTGTTATGTGAATTACTTACGGTTTAATCAATTTTTGGTTTGAATTTCATTGCTAACAAATTAAGCCTAAAACTGGATTGAAATCGAAATTTAGGGATCTAACCATATAAGGCTGTGTTTGGATGATGAAATCCGAAGGGAGAAAGTATTGTGATTATTTAAATTTTAAAATAAAACAACAATTGTATCTAGTAAGATGGCCATGTGACCAGCAAATAATGCATGGAACACAGCTCATCTTACCAAAAAGTTCGAGTGTTTTTATTGAAAAGGACTAATAATCTTTTTTTGTATGAAAGTTAAAGATAGCTGTCCATTATGTTCACCAAAGTCTTATATGAACAAGCTTTCAAGTTACAAAAGTTGAGTAACACACTAAAACATCATTCTTCCTTGCTTTTAGGCTGGCCATGGGAATACCAATAGTAATAATACATTTGATAAAGTCAAATTATAATAAGGTTTTCCTAAAACTAAAATGAAAATAATGGTATACTGCTACATACACAACACAACCCGTATTGCAGTACCAAATCATAGTAACATTTAACCATTACAATAGCAATTAGTTCTTTAAGTATTCATTGATCCAACCTCCAATTTACTTTTCAAATCCTCCTAATGCCACAAACAATTTGCATTCTAGACCAGACTATACACACCAATTTAAGCTCTAGAATTATTTGATCACTCTCAAATTCTTTTTGATGTGTATCATAACAGAAAGCTTCAAGTATAAGGGAGGTAGTTACATTATTTGCAATTGATATGAATAAATTAATTCATAAAGTTGATCTGAGGCAGTGCTTAATGCATTAAGGCACTGCCTAAAAGCTTGACAAAATTCATTAAGGCAGGGCTTAATGCAATATGCATTTTCAATAGACACTTTAACAAAGAGGAGGATATCATGTTCAAAAAGTATATGAGAAATCAAATGACCTTTTTTTTTTCCGCAAGCATAGTCTTAACCGTAATTTGGGAGCTTCTACATGCAGATTTGAGAGAAACTTACATTCTGTAAGACATTGAACGACAGAAGTTTTAGTTGAGTTTGTCATAAGCTTTCTAAAAATCAATTTTTATAGACATGAAAACCTTATGGCCCTTAATCATATTCACAGCATGCTAGATTGGTAGGGAGAGTTGGTACTATCAAGAAGGGGCTTTATTCTATTGACAACAACCTTAGTTATAAATTTGTAAGCTGCATTATAAAGAGATACCAGCCTAAACTGTGAAATGAATGTCAGCTATTCAATCTTGTGAATTAAGACAAGCAAAGTAATTGTTCATGGATTTTATGATTGATAGATCCTCCTAAGAATGATCAATCAATTGAAAGAAAGAGAGCAAGTATTTAAAACCTATATATTACTGATTAAAATAAGAACTATAACATAGATTTATTCCTATAATCTGAGAGCAAGACACCAAGTGCTCATCAGAGGAGGAAAATACTATCTGACTAACCTCACAAGGTTTCTAACCGAATGATATTCAACTCCCCTCACAAGGTTTCTATCAGATTAGCCACATAAACAAATTGTAACCAATTGTTCATTTGACCCATTTGTTGGTCTAAGAACTAAACTGGTACATAACACTGCCATCTAAAAAAATCTTAAACTGTTTGTTACATTCAATCAATTTTGATTATTAGATTTTTAATATTATGCGGGTAAGTTTGATAGAGGTAGGTGCTCTTCAATTGGATATCATATATAACCTCGTGTAAAGTCTAAAATACATAGACTTATCCAGCCTTCTTCTGCAACTCTAATTAATCGGGTCCACCATATCCTTCGGTCTTGTTTCTCACAACGCTCTCGCTAAACATTGTTGAACTAATAGATCTTTAACACTCCTTTATCATAATTTGAAATTGTCTATTTCGTCGAATCTTTTCATATAGAATTTCACGTCAGAGTTCATTGTCATATAATACTAATTGTTAAGAAAACAACTAGTAACAAAAGAACAAATTAAGGTTTTAATATTTTATGTCCCTCTTATGTGTTATGTGTGACTATGAACAATACTCAACAATTGTTCTATACAAGAGCTCATTAATTGTATCATCGTTTATCAAATTAAAATTAAACGATTCTATTTGAATTTTCCTACTCAATTTAGCTATGTTTTGTTTCATTTATCTCAACTCTCCAAATCATAATACGGTGCGAGAATTCCAATGTTTAACTTCAATGCCTGTATTTTCTATGTCAGAACTTGAAGTAAGCATACTAAACTACTAAACATATATATTTGATTCTATGTAAAGTGGAGATAAAAAACTAATTTTAACGTCTTGGTTTTTTACAAATGTATTTTAACTCATAACATCTTTAATGAGTATGTAAGAGGGTTTCATAGAATGATTGAACGGTTTCTTAATTTTTTAATTATCGGAGACCGTGACGTGGCACTATGAGTAGAAAAACAATTGTTAGTGTAAGTAACTCAATGTGAGTTTCATTATTAGAGATGTTATCTAGTCTAAATATAACTTTTATACAAAAATTTAAAGTTCAATTCATATTTAATATAAAAATAATTTTACAAAATAAATTTATTCAAAATCTTTTTTTTGTTGTTGTTGGATTTCACCACCAGTATCCAGTCCACTGAACCGCTAATCTGATTTGGAATTAGTTCTAACATCAAGTGATTTCGCACCAAACGCCAATCACCACTGGACCAAACGCCAATGGACCAACTAATCGCATCAAAACAAAAGAAACACAGCCTATTATTACATTTTGTCCAATATTTAACTTCACCCTCTCTCAGTTTTCAAGTCATTCATTTTGTTCACTTTGCATTATTACATTCTGTCCCAATATTTAACTTCACTTCCTTTCACGTTACAAGTCATTCATTTTGTTCACTTTTGTTTTGAAAGAATTTGAGTATGATTTTACATGCAATGGTTAAATGAATTTCTCTTGGATAATATATACAACGAAATAAATTATGGGAGAGAAGGTGTGAGAGAAGGCTTTGCAACCTCTAGTGCTCCACAGTCGCTAATATAAATGGTGGTAAGTGGCCTGTTCCATATGGTGCGTGCATTCTGAGCCCTTTCGTCTCCGAAAAATTCTGCCAAGTCATTAAATTGGCGAATTCGTTCACCTGGTTGGTAAGTCTGAGTGGAGGCTATGGCTGTGATGACATCCAACCCTGAAATTATATTCAACCAGAAGCTGAGAAATGTATTTGGTAAAAACATAAGATCAGGGATCAAACAGACAAAACGTAATCTAGTCTGCAAACAGATCAAATATTCTGAATATATGAACACTCTTTTATCATCTGATCAACAGGTTGATAGTTGATACACAATATGGCAGAATAGTGAACAGAGATCAAATATCAAAACTATTTGAATTTGGAGGTATAAAACATGATCACTTACTAATGGGGGAGAGTACAATGCTCACCAAAAAAACAGAAGCACCAACAGTTCACAAGGTTTAGTTACCAAGCTTAGAGTTCACACACAGTCAAACAACGAGTCCAGCAAAGCATCTTAATACTCGTGACAATGTGACAAAACCACTCATTCTGAAAATAAATGCAAGATTCAAATTTAAATGTGAATACAATACTCTTTTATGTTAATATTCCCTGTCTCATACAAAGGTATTTCCAGTTTTCGTACTGGAAAAATGCAGAACCAGGTTTCAATAAAAGGTAGCCAAACAAAAGTTGGATTGGGACATCAACGTTTTTGAAAGAAATGGAGTCTCAATTTAGAGTGCATCAACAACACTTAACTACTACTCTCAACAGTGTTATTAAATGGTAGCACCATGGCAGAAGGGCGAGGCAGATTTTTTGACAACTGCCATAGGCCGCGATTGCGTGTTTATTTGACAGTTTTTTGGCCGTCCACCACCGACAACACTGATTCTCAATCATATCAAGGATCGCTTCCCTGAGGAGGTTCTACCACGTGGAAACACTCTTTAATGGAACTTTAGCTTTAACTGGTCGTGACCAAGAAACTATTGGTTTTGCTTGGTGGGCCGGGAATGCCAGACTTATCAACTTATCCGGTAAACTACTGGGGGGCCATGTAGCCCATGCCGGATTAATAGTATTCTGGGCCGGAGCAATGGACCTATTTGAAGTTGCACATATCGTACCCGAGAAGCCCAACACAAATGAAATTTAAAACAATGTGCATAACTAATTTTTGCATGCTCTAATTGTGGTGCCTCCAGAAATTAATAACATTAACAGTTGACCACAATAATCATTACATACAATGCATGAGATAGTGTCTTATTGTTAGTTAAAAAGTTCTTACTTCTTGGTTAATGAGTTGGTTAGTTATGGGTAGTTAGTGGGTCTATTGGAATGGAATTGGGCCAAATAGGGCATGCTGCCTAAAAATAGAAAGGAGGATTAGGGAGGGTATTATCTTTCCATTAGATAGGAATAGAGCCTTTTGGCAATCATCAGATACCATTGGGATTGTCCACTGCAAAAACGAGAGCCGAGATAGAAATCAAACACGCTGTTGCTTTACCAGTTAGGAAAAGTGGGATTGGAACAAGGAAGACAAATCAAGAGAGCGAGCATCGGTCACCAAGTGTCAGATGTTGGGCACATATGTGCACTTAGTGAATCTAACCTCTATTATTGTGAGAGTGTTCAAATTCAGCACAATTAAGGCAGCTTTATCCCTGTCCGATGAGGAACCTATGCAAAGGTACAAAGGAATTAAGAAAACAACCCAGTGGGTGGCAGTTAAAGAGAGTATGGTGAATG